CTAAAGACAGCATCAAAACTAATGAATAAATGGGAAACACAGTTGCTATTTTGTTGTCGACTAAACATTCTAACAAAGGTATAACAGCAGTATGTCATCGAATAAAAAATAGACAAAACTACTGCACTTATACGGTGAAGATGTGGTTCGTTTGTAAGAACCCGATGATATTGAAACTCCTCACCTAATTGTACAGCGTCGCGTATGACAGTTCAATTTTATAATTGCTCAATGATTAAGACTCCCTTCGAACGGAAGGTTTTTATGCGTTAAGCGTTGCTTTTAGCAGACAATCGGCTTTCTGGTGGCAACTTAATTAGACGACACCATTACTCTACGACAAGTTTGCGGGAATGGATAGTTCGATTCGAAGTACTTTCATCGTGCATTAAAACACGAAAGCAGTTTAAACGTTGTTAGCAACTGCTCTTTGCATACTGTTGAAATAAGTGGTTCGGAACAGTCACGACACAACTAACGGTTTGGTAGTAGATACCGACTTTCCTTATTAGTCGCTGTGCGGCTCGAGAGTAAGTCCGAAGGTACAAAGGGACGAGTGGGTCCTGTGACCAATTGGCAAGCGCCTATCTGTCATCGTTCATATTCCAGACCGAAACCGGCACGGCAACGAGGCCATGGCGCAATGGTTAGACTATCGGACTTTTAACTAACAAGATCACGGGTTCGAACCTTGGGGTCGCCACCCTTGGGGTTTTGTATGGTTGGTTGATGACAACTAATAAGCTAGAAATGCCCATTGCAGTCGCCCCTGTCTTCTTCGGTAATACCACTTTTTTCCTTAGTCCGTGAGGGGAATGCAAGCTTCTAAGGGATGTCAGTACTTCTATGGATCTAACTCACGGTACATTTTAACACGAAACAATGCAAGCAAAAGCTCCAAGGTCCATGCACGAGAGGTCTAAAGTCGTAGGATGGAAGCAATAAAACCTTAGAATTGAAACACGGATTGTACGGGCACCCTGTGCCACTTAAAATGGCTCCAGCTAACGCCCCCATAGTATGTTCCAGTAGACAATAGACATGGACTTACTTTTAGTAACATACCTTCGGTGAGGTTTTAACGCCACTTAGCACGAATAATAAGGTGAAGAAGTTTTTATGCGAAAAGAAATCGGCCTTAGCTGAGCGCTGTTCCAATCAACTACGTTGACAGCACTCGTCAAAAAAATGATTATTTGAGATACTAGTACGTTATTGCTGATTTTCCATGCTTGCTTTTAGCTATGCTTCACACAAGTGAGACAAAAAAATATACTCAGATTATGGGAAAGTAGCTCTCTTCAATATGTGTGCTTGACGAAATACTGCAATTTAATTTTTGGAAGTTCACAACCATGATAATGCTTGGCGCGCTCAGGCGTGCCCCTGCCATGGGCCACATGCTGATGCGCTGGGCTAAGAGGCAATGGCAGGTGGGAGTAAAGATTCGTAAAAATGTCTACGTGCAGGCTCAGGCTGCGCTAGCCTCCTGTGTCGGATCTCGTTTCTGGTCTTCTTGACTCCGTGTTGACATTCAGTTGGATGAGAATAGCATATACGAGAGAGCACGTCCACTATAAACTACTTCCCGCGAATTCACCACCCCTGCGCCCAACTTACTGTGGAGTTTACAGTGGACATCGTCGGAATCGACGATCGGAATGTCGGTATTGACCCTCGGGTACATTAAAGTTGCTGACAAAATATGCATCACGATACATATCTGTTGCAATGTTCAATGGGAACAAAGTGCAGCACTACCAAGACACGCAACTTTCCCAAGAAGATACCACGCTGTTCTTTTACCTCTGATTCTAATGGAATTTAGTGGAGACAGACATAAATTATACCGAAGAGAAATACTGTTGTTAGTCTTGGCAAGCCTGCATGACAAAGATGACCTTCCGAATGAGGGCCGTCTTCAGCGAAGCTGGCGGAAAATGTTATTTAGTTGTTCCTTCCATTGCTATAGTGAAACAAGACCGGGAGCCGGTTTCGAAATGACCTCGAGCAACTTGACAACAAAACATGGAGAGCATTGTTTATATATTTGATGTCGCTTAAGGTGATCTGATCAGAGTTCAAATGTGCCTACTAGCAAACGCCTTCCC